TTTCTAATTCTCCCCCACTTAGAGCACTAAAATGTCTACCGGTGGTGAAGCAGGTACGCTACTCAATCGTCCCAATCGGAGAAAATGAACTTCAAGGAAATCCAAATTTCGGCTAATGATTCTGAATCCCTGAATTATAACCTCTCTTTCTCTTGAATGCACCACCGTATACTATCCCTCTAGAATCCCGTAACAATAAATCCTCCCTAGCATCTCCTACGCCTTAATAACTTACACAAAAAGAAACGGAACTCATAATACAAATACGAACAAAAGATAAGAAAAAGACATATCGGTTATCCCCTCTGGTGTTGTCCCGGTCTCCTCGACGATGAGCTGATATGCACACCCTAGAGCCTTTGGAGGCTCTGCTCTACCCTGACCCCCGTCAGTAAGTCTCAAAGTGGCTGGTTTTGGGGCCTGCACTGGCCTGTCAACCAATAGAGGACACTGGACCTTCATATGGCCCACCTGATCGCAATGATAACATAGTCGGACTCCAGCAGCCGGAGCCTACTGCCTACAATCCCCGCCTATATGCCCCTCTTTGCTACACTAGTGGCACATAGAAGAAGACCGAAAAACTCCATCATGTACCTTATTGTACTTCCCACAAGTGTGAATCCTCTGACTTCCCTGACGATAATCAGCGGCCCTCATCCATTTTTCCGCAAGCTGCGACTGCAAAGAAGCCTGCCTTTGCTCCCTCAGCTGGAGCTCAATCTCTAACTCGCGCTACCTGGAGGCCTCCTGCAACTCCAACAAGGTAGTACATCTCTGCGTAGATACGAACTGTTTGATATCCTTCTTGAGCATGCTCAGGTAACGGGTCATCTGAGCATACTTCGAAGAAAACTCAGGGCAAAACATTGCCCTCTTTGTAAACATCTTGGTGATCTCCGTCACCGACTCTGAATAATATTTCAGCTCCAAAAACTCCTGAGCCAACCTCTCCCGCTCAACCCACGGAACATAACGGGTACTGAACATGTCTTGGAACTCATCCCAAGTAACCGTAGCCCACTGCGCATCAGAATATGATCTTGTAGTCAACCTCCACCAATCCTTTGCCCTAAGCCTTAGCAGGTTCAGAGCACATCTCACCCTCTGATCAGCAGGGCATGAACACGTGAAGAAACATCCCTCCACGTCCAAAAACCATCTCATCGCAACAATCGGATCCTGAACTCTGTCAAAGGTAGGGGGCTTCGTATTATCGAAGTCCCGATACTAAAAGCCCCGACCGACTCCTCCTCATGCCGCTGCTACAGCTGCTGCAGCTGCCGCAACAGCTGTCTCTGCAAGAGCTGCATAGCGCTCATTAAATTACTCAACCATGGCGGTCTTGATCGACCCAAACATTTCCGGTAACTGAGCCCAAAACATAGCAGCAACCTCATCATGCAGGATCTCACGAATCCTAGCATCCAACTCATTTGTCCTCATCTGACCAATGACCTCGGGTGGTGGTGATCCATCCTGACCACCCTCTCCTGATTCTGATCCTGAACCAGATCCTGCTCAAATGCGCCTCGTAACCACCATACTGAAATTCATCATGAAGGACATTAGACATTCCTCATAATAGCCTGGAAACTATCTCCCAACCAAAACCCTAGGGGTTGTGACTTCCTTGATACGCGTATCGGTCCTGTGCTTTTAGTAGTACGGGCCCATACTACCTTCCACACCTATTGATATTGGTCTCAAGTATCATCACAACACCCTTACAACATACACAAACATAGCAAGCACTCAATCCTCACTCCTAGAGGAGTTCTAAATATCTCATACTGACCTATCGGTTGTACAACCCACCCATCCATGAAACTTCCACCAACCCTGCAGCACTAGTGTATGCTAGCCATACATAACGCTGGACCCTATAGACTTTCGAATATCTAATCCTACCCTAAGTTCCCAATCAGACAAGAACAGAACACAAGGCCAAATCAAACATTCTCAAGCTATAAGATCTTAGTTATGTATAACCGTGATGCATACACTAAATAACTACAGTAATGATGTCAATTCCATATAAAGAGAACCCTAAGCTAGCAGGCATCATGTAATCAGGCAATACTAACATGCAATTCCTGAAGATCCCTAGCCTAGCACTAGCATGATGTTCTAACATATCACATAATCAAATAACTGTATGGTATTTTGGGGTCTACTTTCTGGATCTTGCTGATCGTACCCCCCTGCATCCTCCTTTAGTTATTTGAAAACCATTGTAGAAATTATTTTGAAAACCTTTCTTTGATTTGAGACTAGAGTCACACGAATGTTCCTCCAATTCACTCAAACCAAGGCTCTGATACCAACTTGTAACACCCATACAATTTACGCCAATTTAAAACATTTTAATCCATTCAAAAACCATTAAGTTATTACAACTTGTTTTCAAAATAATTTAAACATCAGAGTATCCCTATAACCAAATCACAAAATCATGAAATATGAGGAGCGTTACGATCACACCTTTGCCTTGCCACGATCTCCTGATGTACCTGAAACAAGAAACTGAAACTGTAAGCCCGAAAGCTTAGTGAGTTACCCCAAAAATACCCATACATATACAACCATGCACATACAAGAATGAACATCATACTATGGGTCCAGTCAACCATCGGGTTGGAATACCCCAGGCCCTCAACCATCGGGTTGGAATGCCAATATACTACGAGTCCAATCATCCTCGGGATGGAATACTCTCGGCCCACAACCATCGTGTTGGAATGCCCACACTCCTACAAAAACAATAACTACTATGAGTCCGATCATCCATTAGGATGGAATACCCCAGGCCCTCAACCCTCGGGTTGGAATGCCCACCTACTATAAGTCCAATCATCCTACCGGGATGCAATACTCCTGGCCCACAACCATCAGTTTGGAATGCCCACCTACTATGAGTCCAATCATCTTACCGGGATGAATACTCCTAGCTCACAACCATCGGGTTGTAATTCCTACATACTATGAGTCTAATCATCCTACCGGGATGGAATACTCTTGGCGCACAACCATCGGGTTGGAATGCCCACATACTAACAATCTATAGAGACAAGATAATAGGGCCCTATCATCCTCGGGATGGAATATCCTCCACTACCAATCAACCAAGTGCACATATAACAGTCAATCTCCTACCAGCATACAGACAACCAGACCAACTACAGGTCACTAAGCATAGCCACATCCAGTCTACCAGGATACCGATCTAACCAACAATGCAAACACATAATCATCCTTTCAACTAGAATGCCAACTAACATATCATAGCAGTAACTATCTCAAACAACGAATCAAAGGGCCAACCTTGGTGCCTTAGCCCCTTGGGTATACTAAGGATAATTCACCTTGCAACTATCGAACCGAACCACGAAGCACAATCCCGAAGCACTGCTCCAGAATCCAACACCTATAGCCATCAATGATTCATTGACATAAATATCCAAATTACCATAATACCTTTGAAGGCCAAACGGGTCAAAGTGAAAGTCGTGTCCAAAGTCAACCTTCCTGATTGACCTTACTAGCCGAGTCAACCCATTGACTCGCCGAGCTCTTAAACTCAGAAAACTCTCATATCATGACTCGACTCGCTGAGTCACCCCATGACACATCGAGTCCATCAATCTCTGAGTCCTATCCTATCCAACTCATTGATTCACCACTCAACTCACTGATCTGATTCTTAACCAGGAGAGGTTGGGGGTTCTGTGTTATGACTCGCTGAGTCCAAGAACAAACTCGTCGAGTCCACAAAAATCTTCATCAGACTTGCCGAGTTGTTCATCCAACTCGTCGAGTGCATGCCCATTATCATATGAGTCGCCAAGTCAAGCCATGCGACTCGTCGAGTCTCTTTAGTCCTTCATCCATACAGGCACTTCTTGAGCCATGCAGAAGCTTCATATTGTAGATCCGTCCTCCTAGGGCATGAAACTCACGTAAAGCTGCCAACTCTACGTGAGTATAAGGTGCTATTAGCCCAAAAAAGGCTAGGGCCAGGGTTTAAGGAAAGAATGCTTCACAACCAAACAAAGGGCTGATGCTTTATGATTTCCTGGACCAAGGCAAGTCTAGATCTAAAGCTGCAACATCAGATCTAGACCCATAACCTGAAATGGATTTTAATGATACTAAAATGGCCGCAAATCCATCCATAAGTTGATCTAGAAAGGAAAGGATCAAGGTAACAACTGCATACCTCAAAAATGTGCACAAATTGAAGTAGATTCTGGATCTATATGAGTCCCTTGATGCTATACCCTTGATCTACAAGCCTCCCTTGCTAAAATCTCCTTCCAAAGCTTCCAAGCTCACTCCAAAGTCTAACACATGATATTAGGGTTTACTGACTCTCATGGGGGTAACAAAGAGGCTGATGTGAGGATTTAAGGTCCTTTAAATATGGTGTAAACCCTAAGATTAGGATTTATATTTTTATAATAATTATAAAAATAAATTATATCGTTTACTTAGTAATTATTTCCACATTATGATCGTGAGTATAAAAATAATAATTGATTTTTGGTATAACTTCAATTAATTATTATATATATTTGTAAAATCTTCTTCGAAAGTTGTTTAAGACAATGTACATCTCCTTAGTACACAATTATATTAAATACCATATTTTGTTATGGGTATAATGTCTTTTTATGCTTTCTCAATATTTTCGCGCACATATATACGATGAATATTATAGATTAGGATTCGTCGAATAACTTCTATCTGTATATCAATCTACTTATAAACCTGTGATTTTTATTAATATTAATTAATATATCACAACAAGGTATAACTTTATCATTTATAGCATTCTACTATAACTTATATAATTCATTAATGCTTTAAACCTTTTAAATTGTTATTTTCATAAACTCTTAACCAATAATAAAATATGATGCAGTCAATGTATAGGATTTGAAAATCATCAAAACTTTAAATAGACACTCATGTATTCTCCCCCAAAATTAAGAATGTAAATGAGGGGCCGTAGAAACTCACATTCGATGCCTGATCTCGATCTAGGCTCGGTTGTTGAAGCTTGTTGTGAGGAACCGTAATTTACACCTTTTTAAATTTGGAACAAACCATCAGGACTATTTTGATTAAAGTAAAAGAGAACCCGATTTGATTTGTAGTTTAATTAACTAAAATGATAGTTTTGGTGAATCAAAAAGTGTATTTTAGCAACTTTAGGGCTGTTTTGGGAAATTATACAACAAATGGGGGTTGTTTAGTAAATTCCTTACCCACAAGAGATCAGTTTTGATAAATCATTTCAAATGGGGTTTATTTTGGCACCACGCAACATTTGTAGGGGCTGATATGGCTATTTATTATAAACAAAGGATTTTAGGGCTTTTGCGCCCTCATCTTGCCCGATCGATCAAAAGAAAGAATCAGACGCGAGGAACAAGCGCAAACGACAAACGCACGCCTTCAGCGACTCATCTGTCGAGCGAAGGGAAAAGAAATCGAAGGCGGCAGCAGGTGGCTCGGTGGAGGAGGCCAATCGTAAAGAGGAGGACCGACAAAAGGGACTTCGGTCCCCATCTTCGTCATCATCAGACCGGAGATGTGACTGGCAAACGAAGGCAGCCAAGGGATGTACTGGTGGTGGCTAAGAGATAGCAAGGAGGGGAGCACCTCCGGTACTCGGTTGGTCTGAACAAAAAAAAAGGGAAGAGGCAGCGAAGCTGCTCTCTTTTTGCTTCCGCAGTGAGATACGAAGCAGAAAAACGGGCGGCGATAGCAGCTCCGGTGGTGGGGTGTTTGACTCTTCGTTTGACAGTAAGCAAGGAGCACAACGTGAAGGTCTTGATGTCTTCTTGATTGCAGGGAAATCTCCACTTCTGGTGGAGGTTTGGGTTGATTCAATTGACAGGTAAGTGCACAAGAAAGAACCAAGAGGTTGTTGCCCTCTTTGGTCTCGATGTAACAGCCAACCACTTCGGTGGTACCTTGGCAGAAATTTGTGAAGAAGAAAAGGGTAAGAAGAAGCAATTTTGGATCAGTGATTTCATTATTGTTTTACAATTTCAATCGACAGGGAGAAAAGAAACGGAAAGAGGTTGTTGCCACCTTGATGTTCACCGGAAATGGTAACCACCTCCTTTATGATCATGTATTTGTGTATGTAAAAACATGTATTTTGTATATGTATTAACATATTTTGTGAATGTATATATTTTGTGAATGTATTGAGTGATGTGGCGGAATATGCAAATTTAGATGCTATAGTTATATTGTTAAAAGTTTAAATTCAATTATGCTTCACTCAAAGTGCCAAAAGTACATTGTCATATTTGAATATCTTAAACTGATGATATTTTCTAATGTTCTCGATTCGTGTGCCATTGATCCGGATATTAAATAATTTTTCTGAAAATGACAAATAATAATCTCGGTTATAAGGTTTCCAAAAAGTCAGATCGATCTTAAATCCGATAAGTAGAAATCCGGGAATATTCGTTTAAAGTTATGCGATTAATAGGATTGGATTCGACAAATTTTTCAAATCTGATTTCGGTCGAGTTTAAAAATATTATAAAAATATAATAAAATAATAGCCCATAATCAGAATTCAAAAACATGTTTAAATACGGTTTACGAGACTCAAAGTCTTCCAAACGAAACAATGTATGTTTGTTTCAAAAAAATTAAATAAATACTGATTTTTAAAATTTTAATGACTCTTCACTTTCTCATACAACCTTCGTTTTGGTCGTTCGTTATTTCCACGAAATCAAGATAACATAATCTACTCAAATATCTATTCCATAACTTTAAAATATATTTAATACAAAATTTTATATTTAACACCACCAAAAATTAAATTTTTGGCGATTTTCGATCTGATCTCAACGATAGAGGGTTTTAGGCCGCTTGAGATGTTTTAAAAGCAATTATGAAATAAGTTATTTAATATACTTTACAAACATTAAATTAAATGTAATTGGTTTTTATTTCATAACGGTTTGACCGCCAAACTCTGACCAATTTTTACCAGTAGTTACATTATCCACCATTGAAATGAATTTCGTCCCGAAATTCAACGTGTAGATAAAATATTATAAAACAATTGGTGACATTTTCTTTTCGCTTTATTCACACATGATTGGGTACTCGGTCGAATAGATGGCTTTATTCTAATCCCTACAAAGAGAAATGAATAGGGAATACAATCGAATCAAGTCTTTTAAGGTTATCGAATCTTATATACCTTTCTATCAGGTGTACTTTCCCAATTGTGAAATATTCACATGGTTTCCTAGCTAACTTCATTGAAAAAGATATGACAAGTGTGTCATGGGACCGACACTCTTTGGAACTTGTCGTATGAAAAAGTGTCATGTTTGTCGTTTAGTTCTCAAGATAATTCGATATAAATATCAGGACCAAATCCTATTAACAATTTCTAATGTCCTTTGAGCTGCAAGTTTAACATGTCTAGTTCTCTAAGCCGGATCCTTTCTCTAAAAGATTAGGTATTTAAATCTACACAGTTTCTGACTTGGAAGTCAAGATACTTACATTTTTTGTTCACATAACTCTCTTGTCGTTCCTGACCAGTCTAAAATCTTTCTCCAGTTTATACAATCTTTTCTGTGATCTCATAAGTTCTTCTTGGATCAGAGTGCAACATATCATCTATATGCTCTTTATTTAATTTATCATCTTCAATCATTACTCAATATATCGAGGATCAACACTTTCTCTGTACAAAGCCTCAAGAGGTGAGGTCTTTATGCTAGTGTGACAACTATCATTGTAGGAAAGTCAATTAACAAAAATGAGCATTCCAAGAAATATCCAAAGGTCTATCAGAGATGTATAGAGCATATTACTCACGTCAATATGGTTCATTCGGTCTAACCATTGGGGAGAGTAAGCTAGGCTTATGTCTAAGCACATACTTAAGGATTTTGATGATTGTCATAACTAATAGGTGAATCTACTATCTTAATGGGGGATGATAGAGATTGGCACCTCGTGTAGTCTGATGATTTCTTTTGCAAGTATTGGTCAACTTTTCCATTTCACATGGTTCTTAGATTAGCACGATGTAAATCTCATTACAATGTTAACGAATCTCACCCATCATGATGACAACAGTTTTCTTATATATGTTATTTAACCAAAAGCATAGGCAAAAACCTTATCTTAATTCCTCGATGTGCACATCAATCCTTTATATACATGTCGTCGTGGACAAACAAGTTCTCTATTGTTTCAGAAGGGTAGGATTTGTCCTCTACACCATAGTTGTTCCATCTTCTGGAATATATTATCTTGCTTAATTTCCAGTTGGATTTTGTTTCCTTTTTCGTGTTAATATACTTGATAGTTGGGGTACCATAAACAAGTCCTTGATGGTCACTGGTAGTTTCCAATATAAATTCCGTTTTTGTTGTTAAAATTCCAGCGTTCTTTTCCTGGGGAAAAGTCTTCACTTAAACTTCCACATTAGATCAAATCCTTCATATTTGATTAAATCCTTCACATTTTATCAAATCCTTCACATTTGATCTTTAGGGTGAGACAGCAACTTTAGGTTCTTCTCCAACCTGTAATTAAAAATCACCATGTCTTTCTTCTGGGGTACACTTCGTCATACAATTTCCTTTTAGTACAAATCTAGACACAATGAGGAGGTAGCTGATTCATACCTAAGATGATGTCCAAGCTTCTGCTCGGAATTGGCATAAACTTTATAAGTAATGATCGATCGTTGATGGTTACAGTTAAAGGGGGTCGTATAACGACTTGACGTGACACAAACAAAATCAAGTCATATAGACAACGATATTGGACTTTTGGTGACATACGTATGAGATTGATGTGACAAACATGATTAGTAAGTGTTAGGATGAAATTTATTTAAAATTTTGCAAGTACGTTTCCCATTGCTCACTGGTTGTCTCTACTCTATAGGTTTCCTGCAATCTATCGGATTCATTACGTAGAATAGGTTTAACTTTAAGGTTCACAAATATTTCGCCACACACCTAAAACAAAAATACTCTAGCATACGAGTGCTTAATAAGAAACGCGCTAGTTACTACTGATGTGTCATGGATTTCATTCCCTTTTTTGATCACGATTGCTCTGAATCGAGTTTTCACCGCCTAGTTCTTTAGTCTTGGGCAGTTTCTCTCAAAGTGCCAATTTTCACCATTTTCGTAACAAGCTTTTCTTCCACCAATTCTTGTTCTAATCTCTACATTTCATCTCTTAGTACCACACTCTTATGAGCATCGCCTGTAGTCCATCTTAAGTCATTGCATAAGCAGATTCGATGCCCGTAATTTACACATAATAGTTCTAATTGGTAAAATTTGTGTCCTTAAAAGTGTAGGTGTCAAACTTAACACTATAGCCTTCCATATTGGAGCTGACATGAAATACCGATTCCATTTTTTCGCTATAGGGAGTCTTTCCTACAATTCCTTCAATGTCGTAGAAGCATCTAGGTTAATGTCACTATTATTTCTATGTTTGTTGCTTACGAAATCTACCTTGTACAAATTCGTTGTTCCTGTTGACCTTGTAAGTGACCAAGGTGTTAACTACTAGTTGTTCGATCATTATCTCGATCATAGTTGCGACAAGTGATTGTGTCGGTGTCGAACGATTACTAACCGTATCTTGTGAGACATATCTTTTCTCATTACAATTTGTTCAAGGAGAAATAAGTCACGTGAAAATATCGTTGTGGACATTAGTGATAAGATTACAATTGTGCCAAACGTGTATAATTGATGTGGGTTTGCTTGAGACTAACTCTACTACGAGTATTAGATGTAGCAAACTTCTATACTACCACCAAGGGTGAAATGTTACACTTGGAACGAGTGAAAAGAAACTAGCAAGTATTGGAACAAGTTATAAAAATTTACGAAGAAAATGCTACAGGAAAAATATCTACTACTCGATATTTTGACTATATCACGACTTCCGAAGTTACAATTTATTAGAATCGAGATATTTTGGATGTAGACAAGATTCCTAACAACTTTCATGTTTCACATTTTTTTTATCGTGTCTGTTTTATTCTCCTTAAAAAAGGGTCACAAAAGATGAATGGTTGGCGTAGGTGTCCTTTTTTTGAACTTGGATGGTTCAAACATAAGTCAGACGGTTCACAACAGAAAGAAACAAATTGATTGAATACCTAATCCAAATTTGAAATGATTTGTAAATGTGAGTATTTTACATGGTATCCTTAAGATGTCTAACAAGAGTATTCATAGCATATCATAGCCGAGAAATTAGTATTGCGAGTTAATCATCGGACATGATTTATGTTTATGATACTTACAGTTTCATGAGCATTTGAGGTAAATATTTGCCAAATATTCGTAAAGTGTTTATTAAACTTTTGAGGGTTCTTAAGCATTTTAAACTGTGATTTTTCCTTAATTATTTTGGACTCCCAATGTTTTAGTCTATCAACAACCGAATCTAAGCATAATTGTTCATCGGTCCAACCAAAATTAAACATAGGTGATCAGTCTATGTCTAGTTGAGGTTCGGCCCACATACAATCAACTTAGTTAAGGTGTTTGACCTAAAACCTTGCGGTGTATTAGCATTCGAGGGTTCGAGTTTCTATATGTATATATGTATAACCCTATATTTGTAGGCTAAGTAATATAGCTAACCTAAAAGAGTAATCCCTAGGCTATAGTCGCGCTTTCCTAAGAAAGTACTAGTTCGCTATAGCCAATAGCTTTGATACCAGTTTGTCACACCTTCGGCCGACGGTGGAAACGCCGAAGTGCGTGACGTAATTCAATAATCATAGTTATTCAACATACATTGAACAGTACAAATATAATGTTTTATTATTACCGAAAAGAAATTACATTGACAAGACTATTGTTGAAATACTACACACGCCTAACAATCTGCATTCGCAATTGTGTGATAAGAATTTCAGAGGATCTTCTGTATGAACTCTTCCGACCTTACAAATAACCTGAGAATACATGCATTAAGATACATCAACAAAATTGTTGGTGAGTTCTACAGGTTTTGACACAAAGTATTTTTATACCAAAAAATGTTTTATAAAATGTATCTAGTTGATCAGCTTTTATAAA